CAAATGCCACATATATGTGCTGCGCAGTGTGTTTTACGGAACACCGCGCATATATGTACGCGATCGCATTTGTGGTTGTGTATTTGATTGCACACAAATTGCACATAAATAATGTCTCATAAAATACTTAAAATTGTACATAATAGATAAGCATGACGATAAAAAATTTGAAAATTATCGCGCCGTTTTTTTTAGGATAAGAAATAATGGATAACTAATAAAACAAATCCATTACAAACGTACATTGAACGTACAGTATTTAACTTATATTAGTCATATATAAAATAAAATTCCAATGGACGTCCAGTGGACATCCATTATTATTAACCATTATATATCCTGGAATGGACGTACATTGGACGACCATTTTATGTCCATGGATGTATGGCTATAAAATGAACGTAAAATGGACATCCATAAGGCGTACGGTGCTATTTGGGAGTATATTCGTTTAAAATTATTTACATATACATTTAACAAACGTTTCTGCCTGACATCAAGCCATCTTCAGTATAAGAATAATAAGAAACGAAAGAATCGTAACACGTTGATTAAAAAGACAATATAATGTAGAGGAAGTTTTCACAATCCATTTTAACGAAAGTGTTGTTCAGTACATAAATTAATCTAATGAATTCAAAAAATGAAAAAGGGAAAAAACGCATCATATTGCTTGCGTGAATTAAAATAATTGATGTACAAGGCTCTAGTGATTATCAAAATCAAATAAAATTAAAGAAGACTAAAATTAAAGAACTGAAAAAGGCCTGATGTCAGGCAGAAACGTTTGTTAACCCTCTTTAGTCACACTTCCGAAAAATGACGTAATAGTCATTCTGGGTGAAATCCACCCCCGCACCTTTGCACTGCAATAAATTATTGTAAAATGCAAAGAAAAAAAAAAAAACTGAGATAAGTTTTGACCTTTTTTACAAGAGCATGTCTATTATATATAAAAAATTAATTTTACATACGCAAAAAAATGTTGAAAAAAAACCGTTTTGAAAATGACTTTTTTCACAAAAATCGTTATAACTTTTTTATTTTAATCTAAAAAAAAAAAAAAAAGGTTTTAATAAACCTAAAATGACATGCTTTCAGACAGATATTATTACTTTTATGGTCTTTCCAAAAAGTATATTTATTTTGCCGAATAAAGTTAGAATTTTGGACGAAAGAATGATACCCATGAATTTATGGAAGAATCTTTGTTTATTTTGAAAAAATTAATATAAAAATTATAAAAAATTATAATGATGTAGAAAAAGAATAAATATATCATTTCTAATTATTATTTAATGCCCATAGTGCATTCGACACGTAAATATGTGCGATGTTTATCGCACATTGGTCGCTTGCAGCTCGGACACTCAAGGTATGTTTTTTTGTCAGTGCCTCTGGGGCACACTTGACAGCGTTTATGCTTCTCTAGTTTCGGGCGGTCTTTGGTAGTCGTTGGCAAATCTGTCAACGCTAAAATATTAGCAATGCCAATTCTTATTTATAAAATCGATAAAATAATATAAAAATTTTTTTGATAATTCTAACTTTCAGAATCATTAATTATATATTTACAATTTGATGTTGCACCAAAAAAAGAGGAGAAAAAAAATTGCTGCGGAAATCAAAATTTTGACGTAATAGTCACACTGGGTGTTATCCACCCCACAATTTGGACGCTCCGCTTCGGATGGCTGCCAGAAAAGCACTAAAGAGCCAACTCAAATAATATCTACCTGAATCTGTAGTTAAAGATTCAAACTACCGGTATATGGTGGAACAAGTCCCATTTTCTCAAATTTAATGGGCCGTATTCCAGATCAAAAAAAGGCTGGGGTGAAATCCACCCCGTGTGACTGATTAGGGTTAAATGTAAATGTAAATAATTTTAAACGAATATACTGTAATCTTCGCACGAATAACCTGCATTGTGGCTTTACGCTTCTATTTAATTTTATTTGATTTTGATAATTACTAGAGCATTGTACATCAATTATTTTTATACTTTTTTTATTATTATAATATCCCAAACAATATACGTGAAAGAATATATTTCTTATTAAACCTTGATTTCTTAAAATCTCATACTGACTTTGTGTATATAAACTGTATACATAAACTGTTGCTAATAAATGAAATTAATGTTGTTGCTGGCCAAGTCGATTTCCGATTAGGGAATCGAGTGTCATATAAAAAATAGTAAAAAGTTTTAGACAATATTTTTACTTTTAGACATTATAAGGCGTGTTATCTCGAATAAAATAATATAATATAATAAGATTATATTAAGACACATACATATATATAAATAAAATTTATGACTATTCAAAGGTCAGGACGTAGAGAAGAGTACAAGAAAATTAACAAGAAGGAGGAGAAAGAAAAGGAGACGCAAAAACGGAAACAAGACATGGATGTAGAGAAAGAAATAGCGGAAGGAGTGGAAGAAATAGAAATAGAGGATGAAGCAGAGGACGAGATAGAGGAAGAGGAAGAGAAAGAGAAAGAAAACAATAAGAGAAAAAAGAGAGGAGGACGATATTTACAGGAAAGAAATAAAATGTAAGTTACATGCTCCTGTAATTTCTTTAATGCATTATTTTTATCACACACAAATGTGAAGAAAATTTTTATTTGTACTTTATTTGGAAGAACAATATCTCTCGGCAATTTTCAATATTTTGAAGCTTATATGCAAAAATATCTAACTCAACATAATTCTAACTTATTTTGTATTTCCTCTTTTTTATCTCATTGTTAATTAAATATTAAAATTATTCTCAGACAGCACAAAGAGATCCGTAGGACGTCCAAAGGACAACCTGGACGTATATGCGGGATATCCTGAGGACATCCCATTTTAATCCTCGGGTTTCCTCAGGATATCCTGAGGAAGAGTAAATGATAGCTGTATAGCATCCTCTGGAGAATCCAAGGAGCATCTTAAGGATGTCTATAGGATATATTAGGGATATTTTTCGTACGTTTTAAGGATCTGTTAGGGATGTTTTTCACATGTTTTAAGGAGAAAATTCTAAAAGTGATATAGATTAAAATTACGTTTTATTATTTACTCACAGAAAAAATTTTATATAAAAAATCATTATGTATGACAGTAGCCGTGGACTATGAAGGAATTGGAAAAAATTTTACTATGCTTTTTATATGTGAAACGGTACGTTGGTTTACGCGGAATAACTCGCCGGAGTCAGGAGTTCGGTCGGTTGGGGGCACGTAAAAGAATGCTCGGATAAAATGATAAAATAAAATAATAAAATAAAAGAAGGTTTATTTCGTAAATGCTAAAATCAATTATATACAACCGTGTGGATACGGAACGTTAGTATGCCTGTTTGAACGCGTATTATAATTTATATCGGCGGTGTGAATGCGGTGTAACGGCGGTCGTACAGTGACGAGAAAGCGTTAGCGCAAACGCGGGTGCCGCAGTTGTCTCTAGACGACTGCGAGCGCGTGGATCGATACGTTCGAGCGGCGTCGATGATCGATCGACTGAACGATAGCTCGGGCGCGTGCGCGGTGACTCGATGATCGCTGTCGATTCGCTTGTTCACGATTGCCTGCTGGATATAAGGACCCGATTTGAAGGGATGAAGACGGGAGCGAGGACGCGCGTATTGCCCGCGCCCTGCAATGACCGGTGATCTGACGTGGAGCCGAGTATTCCCGGCGGTATACGGGTATGCCCGTATATAAGAACGAAGCCGAGTGCGCTCGGTAATATACGAGTATGCTCGTATTTAGGAAACGAAATCGAGTATGCTCGGTTATTATATGAGTGCGCTCGTATGCGAGGAAACAAAACCGAGTATGCTCGATAATATACGAGTACGCTCGTATGTGAGGATCGAGGCTGAGTACTCTCGGTGACGTACGAGTATGCTCGCACGGAGGAACGGAGGATGATTCCTGGTGGCCGAGTATGCTCGGCAGGAATACGAGTATTCTCGTATCGAGATCTAGAGCCGAGTATGCTCGGCGGGGATACGGGTGTTCCCGTAACGTGTGGAAGCGGTTCCTGGAGCCGAGTATGCTCGGTCGGTGCACGAGTATGCTCGTGCTCGTGGGGCTACTGGTCATAGACTTCGAGTATTCTCGAAGGATTACGAGTGTTCTCGCAATAGGATGTTCACTGGCGAGCAGTGAACAGGATCTGGTAAGAAGGCGTACAGCCGGGCCTCTTTTATACCCGGCTGTCGCCCGACTGGCGAAGGATCGGCAAGCATCGGCGGTTTAGCCGGCGGACCCCCACCTGGTAAATTTCGAAACGGTCGGGTGTGGGGGACCGTCCGGCGATTGACCGTCGGTGTTTACATGATTAGTTTTATCGGCGCTCGATACGCCCTTTTTGACTACGGACGATGTTCGGTCCGTAGCCGTGACGATGCATGCTGCATCGTTACATCACTCCCGGTTTTCGGGGTGGGTGCCTGCGGCGGCTGTTGACGGCTCTTGATGAGCCGCCCGTCTCGCGAGAAGCGGAGCTTGTACCGCCGTCCGTCTGCGGTTCGCAATTTGTAGTCGCGCGAGACTACCACGGATCAGTAGGGAATGGCCGCGAACTCCCTTGACGCGAACTCCACCATGAAGGGTGGTGGATCCGGTGCTTTCCTAGCTGGTGGCGCAGGTGTTGCGGCGGCTGGTGATGGCCTGGTAGCTGCTGGTGGTGGCCGTGCTACGGCTGGTGGTGGCCGTGCAGCGGCTGGTAGCGGCCGTCGTGCGGCGGCTGGTGGTGTCGGCGGTGCGGCGACGGCCGTTGACGGCCGAGTTTCAACGGCCCAAGATGGCCGTCTGCTGGTAGCGGCTGCTGGTCCCGGCGGTGCGGTGGTCTGCATGGCCGCCGGCCTGGTCGGCTTCCGCTCCTGCGGCGCCATGTGCGTTATCGTACACGCGGCGTCCGGTGGCCTTCGCTTTCGCCCCTTGGTTGATGGCGGCGGTGGCGAGGCCAAGAAGGCAGCTTTCCGCTGCTGCTGCCGGTCGGAGCGTTGTATCGTGGTCCCTACCTTGGGGATCACGCGTGACGGTGGTGACGGCGTTGTTGGCATCGGCGGCGTCGGTCCCTGGACCGGCCTTGGCGTCGGCTTCGGTGCTGGCTTCGGTGCTGGCTTCGGTGCTGGCTCATCGGCCAGGAGAATCTCGATTTCATCGAGGGGGTTCCACGAGCTAGCCATCGTGAAAGCTTTCTAGGCCGAGATTTTCGGAATCGCTCCTTATATCCTAGAATCCCCGTCACGGCGGTCTGGTCAGCCTATTTGGTAGGGGCATCTTCCCCATTCCCTGGCTTCAGGTCCTGCACATGTATGTGCCTAAGCCATCGTCCCCTCTTATCTTTTAAATCGTAGATAACGGGGGTGACGATTCGGCCTATCACGTACGGACCGGCGTATTTTGGCGCGAGTTTGGCGTTCACGCGTGCGGCCTTGTTGGATAGAGGGTGTTCTCTGCGCCATACTGTTGCGCCGATCTTCGGCCGCCAATCCCGACGCCGCATATTATAATACGGCTCTTGTCTTTGAAAAGCTCTGGCGAGATTGACGGTAATAAGCTCCCGGGCCTCGTCCAGGTGGCGCCGCCAGGCTGTCGTCGGAATCGGTACAGGCGGGTGCGTTCGGTCTTCGGGATGCGGTGGTGCTAGTTCGCGCCCGTAATTGGCGAACGCGAGCGTGAGTCCGGTCGCGTCGTGACATGCGCTGTTGAACGCGTATTGGAGCGCAAGGATGTGGCGATCCCATTGGCGGTGGTCGCGCCCGACAAATTGTCCGATCATAGTTTTGATCGCCTTATTGGTCCGTTCGACTGGATTGCATTGCGGCGTATAGATCGGCGTAGTGCGGTGCGCTATCCCGAACGATTTTAACAAGCCATTAAACTGGCGGGATACGAATTGCTTTCCGTTGTCCGAGATGACAAGTTCGGGGCAGCCATGCCGGTATATAATCCGCTCCGCTACGGTTTTACAAATTGCCTCGCTTGTGGCCTTGCGCAGGGGTTGCAATTCAACCCACTTTGTAAATCGGTCTTGTAAGACGAAAAGCCATGAGTGGCCGTTTGTGGAGCGGGGTAGCGGCCCCACTAAGTCAATCGTGACTTGCTGCCACGGCGCGGTGACATTATGCGCGTGGGCGCTTCCGGCAGGCTTGCCCTGGTATGTTTTATGGGCGAGACAATTCTCGCAATTTCGAACGTAGCGGGCGATATCGCGGAACATTCCGGGCCAGTAATATCGCCTGGTGATGCGGTGGATTGTTTTTGCCACGCCTAAATGTCCTGCGGTCGGTTCGTCGTGGAATCGACGCATGACCCCCTCCCGTTCGGGGCGAGAGAGACAGCGTTTCCACTGCTCTTGTTCGGTGTGTTCTAAGTCGTGTCGGAGATGGCGGTAAAGTCTCCCCCCTTGAACGGTGTAATCGGGGTAGCTCGTAGGCTTCCTCTTTACTTTCTTCAGGAAGTTGCGATACCACGCGCAACTCGCCGTCTGGGCGGCGCAGGTTTCCGGTTTCCGGAAAAGCGCGTCGGCAACTTTATTTAACGCTCCGCGCCGGTACCGGATGTCGAAGCTGTACTGCTGCAGCTCGAAAAGCCAACGTCCGAGTCGGCCGGTGGGGGTTTCTAGGCTCTTTAGCCAGCGGAGCGACTGGTGGTCGGTGATTACCGTGAAGGAATATCCTTCTAAGTAATCCCGCATCCGGCGGATCCCCCATACGACCGCGAGGCATTCCAACTCTGTCGCGCTGTAATTTTTCTTGGCCGGATTTAAAGTGCGGCTTGCGTATGCTATTACCCGTTCGCCCTCGGCGAAATCTTGCGTTAGAACGGCCCCGAGTCCGTACGCGCTTGCGTCCGTTTGCAATACGAACGGTAGCCGGAAGTCGGGGCAAGTGAGCACGGGCGCGGTTATGAGCGCGTTTTTGAGCGCGTTGAAGGCGCTTTCTTCCTCCGGTCCCCATTGCCAGCGCGCGTTTTTCCGCGTTAGTTTCGTAAGCGGCGCGGATACGGCAGAGAAATCCTTAATGAAACGGCGGTACCACGAGGCCATGCCGAGGAACTGGCGTACCTTTCGAATCGTGGTAGGAGCCGGCCATTGGGATACGGCGCTTATCTTCGCGGGATCCGTGTGAATGCCTTCCCGTGAAATGACATGACCGAGATATGTGAGTTCGGTCCGGCAGAAGTGGCATTTATCTGGATTTAGACGCAGTCTGGCCTCCCGAAGGCGTCGGAATACTTCGGCTAAATGCTGTAAGTGTTCGCTATACGTAGCGCTGGCAACAATGATGTCATCAAGGTAGACAAACACGTTGGGCTCCAACGCGGGGCCTAACACGGTATCGAGCAACCGCTGAAAGAGTCGCTGGGGCAGAATGCAGTCCGAACGGCATCACTCGGAACTGCATTAACCCCTTCCCGGGTACGGTGAAAGCGGTGATTGGCCGGCTTGCGGACGTTAGTGGCACTTGCCAGTACCCGCTCCTGAGATCGAGCGTCGATAGGTACTTCGCGCCTCTTAATTTGTCTAACGTGGCCGTAATGTGAGGGAAAGGGTACGCGTCGCGCTCGGTCACGGCGTTGACTTTCCGGAAATCTATGCAGAAGCGGGGCTTGCTGTCTGTCTTCTTCACGATTACGACCGGTAAGCTCCATGCGCTCTGTGACGGCTCGATTACCCCCTCTCGTTCCATCTCTTCTACGGCCTCGTTGATGATCCCTTGCATAGCCGGATTGCGGGGGCGGTATCGCTGTTTAATTGGCCGTGAGTCCGTTAGTCGGAGGTGATGCTCTACGCGATTGGTGGGTCCGATGACGTGTTGAAAGAGAGCAAGTTTCCGCTCCAGGAAAGCGCGTAGTTGCCGCGTTTCGGAGTCAGCGGGGTTAGGCCGTTTGAGATAGTGCCGGTACAGCCGGATATCGGTGCGAGCGTCGGTAACGGTCGGGGCGGAAGAACGATTCCTAGGTGGGCCCACAAATCCACCCCTATTAACATGTCGCTCCCGAGTGCTGATAGAATCTGGAAATCGTGGGAGAATTTTCTCTCTCCCAGGCCTATTTTCAGCTCGTAGCTTTTGGTGATAGGGGCAGATCCGCCGTCAGCTACCGTGACGTGTTCTTGTATCGTGCGAGGGCGATAACCTTTTCCGAAAATATACCCGGCGAGTGTGTCGTTGATAAACGACCGGTCGGAGCCCAAGTCGAGGAGGGCTAACACGATCTTCCCGCAGCACGAGATCTCTAAGTGCGGTCGCGGCCGGTAAATGATATCTAACTGGGCCGGTCGGCGGCCGCCGTTGCCCCGGCCCGTGTGGCGTTTCCCGCCGGCGGATGGCAGTCGCGGGTAAAGACGCCATCTTTTCCGCATCGGGAGCAAAATTTGCGTGGCGGTCGCTTGCATCAAGCCGGGTGTGGCCCCGCTGCTTGCACCGCCAGCAACAGTCTTCTCGACTATATTCGGCGGCGGCCACTCCGGTATCTTCCGATCCCGCTGGCGGCTGCTCCATCAGCTCTTCGTATTCTTCAGCCCGGTCGGATAACTTATAATAGTCGATCGCGTCGTGCAGGCAAATATAGAGACGGTATTCGGGGTCCATGTTTTCGATTAATAGATCGATCGTTTCGGCCTCTGAGAACCCCCAGCGCGGCGCGCGATTGTGAGCAATGCGGTTGAAAATTTTTTGAAAGTTTTGCCCGGCAGCTGGCGGCGGCTGGTGGCTTCCCGTCGTAAGCGGGCCTGGTAACGGCGCGGCAAGAAATGCCCGCGAAATTCCCTCAGAAAATCCCCCCAGGTTTTCCACGCGTGGCGGCGGTTTCGGAACCACAGTAAAGGCTCGCCTTTTAGAATTTCGGGCAACCCGAGGAGAAGATGGGCCCCGGAGAAGTGGTACCCCTCCCTTAGCTCTTCAAGCTAAAAGTCCTCAAGGGCCTTTAGCTCGAGGCCCTTTTTGTGTGCTTGATCACCCGTGCGGTGCATATAGAACTCGTTACCGATTTGTCTTCCGCTGCATTCATCGCCGCTTTTCGACGATTTTGTTCACGCCGTGGGATTCCTGCGATAGTATTAAGCGATAATGGAACCAACTTCCGTAACGCGCAAACGGAATTGTACCGTATGTTTCACGCCGGTATGTGCGATGGTGCCGTAGAATCGTCTATGGCCTCGTTAGGCATAGAATGGCACTTCATTCCAGCCTCAGCTCCGCACTTTGGCGGAATTTGGGAGGCTGGAGTAAAGTCGGTGAAACACCACTTGAAGCGGATAGTTGGTGTCCACACACTTACCATTGCCGAACTAGAGACACTGTTGTGTCAGGTGGAGGCCTGCTTGAATTCGCGACCGATTGCTGGACTCTCGAATTCGCCCGACGATCTATCTTATTTGACACCCGGTCACTTCCTGACCGGCGCTCCACTTCTAGCGTTGCCTGATGATTCGCTCTTGGAGCGTCCGGAATCGAGCTTGTCCAGATATCAGCTCATTCAGCAGATGCGCGACAGATTTTGGCATGTTTGGCGACTGGATTTCCTAAACTCATTACAAAAGCGTAATAAGTGGCACAATCAGTGCGCGAATATGAGCATGGGTGACATTGTCATCATTAATAACGACAACGCGCCGCCCTCTCGATGGGAATTAGGTCGTATAACTCAATGCTTCCCAGGTGAAGATGGGTTGGTACGCGTTTGCGAAGTGAAGACTGCTACCTCCACCTTTCGTCGACCTATACACAAACTGTGTCTTCTTCCGATCGCTGATCGAGACGAAGAGGATCACAATTTCTAGTTCCGTTTTCTTGGTATTATACCTTACGGCGGGCGGCGATCAAAGCACACCAATATGAGTATATTATGTCTCTAGATTAAGATTAGAGTAATTAAGAAAAGTATGTAATTTAGTATCTTATCTAGTTAAACTGATGTAAATAATAATTAGTTTAGTATACATTGTTTATGTCGCTTATTAATAAGCGAGGCGAGCGGTATGTTCGTGCGAATATGATACAGAGCGTGCGAATCGATATGCGCGCGCCATCTCTGATGATCGCGGCGTGGCTCGGAGCGATTATTAATCGCGATCACACTTGATTTCCGTTTTAGATCATCATGGATTAGGAAGGTCGTAGCGACACTTCCGTAAAAAAGGGAACTCCTCTTCCGCACGCCGTGCTGAGTCGACGTATTT